CGACTGCCTCGAAGCATTCGATATGGCTTGTGCCCTACCATCCGGATACGCTTCTCGAAGTTTTAGCGACGCCCGTGACAAGAAGATGACGAGGGTCGCTCGTGGAGGCGGGCGGGTATCTTTGTGTATCATCTTCCCTCGCGTTTCATTGTCATCCAAGCCCCAGAATACGGTGGTCCTGTGCGTCCTCGACGGGATTGAGATACCGAGTATGTGTATAAAAGATTTTAGTTGAGAACGGTCTTTCACCTTTCTGCTTTCGCGGCTATGCTGGTTACAAGTCTCACACGTTTTTCGCTTGCACTTGTCGCCTTTTTTCTGGCTCATACTGTGGCCCAGTCCTTTCCTCAAACCAAGGGATGGCAGGTACGCTCATGCACATAGGCCCCATCGAACAGAACCTGACTGTTACACAGGATCCTTCCATCTCCCTTTCCTACGAAGACCGCGTTTCCCTGGCAGAAACATCTCTCGACCTTACCTTCGGGCACGTAGCTCTTGGGTTCGGCAACGGACAGACCAGTACGCGGACTATCCTCCGTGAGATCGATTGAGCTCATTCTATGACAGGAGATATCCCATTCTCCGCTGCAATCCTCTATGCGTCGTCAGAGTTTGACCGCCGCTCTCGTCAATTCATGTTCCGCGATAGGATAATCGCAAACCTGACAGAGTTCCAGCAGAAGGGGAACTTCACATCAATAACGTGCGTCATTCTCGCGTTAAGGGAGTCCATCTTTGACTGACTCGTCGCGTGCAGAGTGCGTATCACCATTGGGGGACGGACGATGTTGCACTGACAAACGACCTCAGATCGAGAGTAGCCGGCTGTGCGTTGTCCCGTTTGTATATGCTATTGTACGCTCACCGCGATGATCGTCTCCGCAGGCTGTTTGGCTTAGCGTACTTGTCCGCTTACCAGGCGTACCCGGCTAGTCCACAAGCCAACGGATTTCTCTCTACCGCCGAGATGCTCTGGACTACTTCGCAGCGGTCTTTCGTAACACAAGCGGCCGCCACTGACGGATCGCTGTCTGGGTTGGTCAGGACGTTCAATCCGACGTGCGGTGAGTTGCTGGTTTCTTCGGTGCTTGTATATAGTATAGAGGCTCATGGTCCTCAAACAGTACCCCTGTCGGGTGGCTCACCTACTTCTACTGCGGGCGCTGTGTCGGTAAATGAGACGGTCAGAGCTGACGGAGAGACTGTGGGCCTCTGGATAACGTGAGTGCTAAAGACATAACCTGCTAGCTACGGTACTCAGGCACTTTACAGACTTTCCGCGCAATTACACAACGCCACCAACAAGGCGACCTATCTGGACCCTGCAGCAACGTCCATCAACTTCGCGAAATCGTTTCTCTCCAATGGCACGACTGTCTTCGACACATACAACTTCAGCAGCTGCTCTCTGACGAATGAGAGCATATACACAAGAAACGGCGGATACTTCCTCAAAGGTCTCAGCGCATACTATAGCAGGAATACATCAGCGATCACATCGGAAGTGACGGAATAGTGCGTATGGCATGAACCGAGCCGGGTATTTGCATGAAGCTGAATGACACTGTTTAGCGTGAGCGAACTGGCGGCGTCATTGATCTTATACCCTGGCTGGACGCAGTCGGACTCAGGTATCAACATAGAGGGTGCGCGAAGTCTGAACTTCAGTTGCATACATTGATTGAAGCCCTTTCTCTCAGGCGCCTTCACGACCCAAGGAGAGGATTCGACGAATGCGGACTACGTGGCTGACTGGAAAGGTGGGTTTTTGTCTTGTCTCAAGAAAACCTTGCTTCTCACCATGACAGCCATACTCGTCGAGGGGCTCTACCAATGTCTCGAGACAAGCCTTCTGAACACAAGCGTGAGCGATCTCGCCCAACAGTATATCTCGGTCCAGTACAACGCCGTCAGAAACCTGGCAAGCTTCCAAAACTCTCAGACACCCAGCATACAATACTACGGACCCAGTTGGAATGGCTCCCTCTCGAATCTTACCAACCCCGACTGGTACGGCCAACAAGCTGCCAATGAACTCTTCGTCACTGCTTTAGGAATCGGTCCAGTGTGAGCTGATCCGCTACCTCATCGCGTCTGTTTATCACTCAACCACTGTTCAGCGCAACGCACTCGCAGAACCGTACCCGGACAGGTGCAATCGTAGGCGGCGTTGTAGGCGGTGTGGCCCTTGTCGTCGGCGTCTTCCTCGCGGTCTTTTTTTGGCGTCGACGCAAGCGCACCTCCGCAGTGGACCTGATCGAGGACAGCCCGCACCGCACCAACTTTGGGGCGGAGCCCTTCGTCGCGACTGAAGAGGAATACCCCCTTTCCGAGCGCGACCGTGGTCTCTCGAAGCGTAGGCATACCCCGCGCGTACCGGCTCCATCCAGCGAAGGAGGCTCTGCGACTTCAGAGCGCGGGTTGGTAGAACAAAGCCGAGATGGCGGGTCAGAGGGGTTGGTTCCCGTCGATGCGAGCGCGCTACAGCGACTGTTGCTGAGTGTCGGTGGGGCTCTGTCGGACCTACAACACCGCGGGAGCGGGGAAGGCGGATCGAGCATCGCGCACGAGCCGCCGCCGAACTATGAGGAGGGGGAAACCCACCAGTCATCTCCTGAACCCCGTATAGTATAATGGTCAGACGTCCAGATTATGACTCCAGCATTTCGGCGTGCTTTCGTTTCTCCCCAATGTAATTGTACCTCTCTTTATTCAGATTATCATGGTCTACATAGTGGCATACAATCCGGTCTAGACTCGTTGTACAGAATCACGTCGGGCCCGTTCTATGCATACACGATATGTGGCACATCTAGGCTGGCGTCCAGTGTCTGCATCCTGTTGTATCCCCGAAGATCTGCCGTCTCATAGTTATGGTAGGAAGATTCGAGCCTCTAATGTTCTAACGGATCCATCGCGGGTGGATCATGATTAGTGTATGCGGCTACCCGCGTTCCGCCTCGCTTCTCCCGCCGACAAGCTACAGTCCGCTTGTTCCCCGAATGTAACTTGTCATGCTGTTGCAATGCCCTCGATGCGGTACAATGTGATAGGTCACGTATGCTATCATAAATCCCGCTCACTGTAGACATAGTGATCGCCGAAGTTGTACAGGGACATGGCAATGATGTCAGCAGACGGGAACTTGATCCATATTGGTAGCGCAGGTGCTGCGTGTCCAATCCGGTACAGGGCATGTATACTATAAGCAGGAGCCGTGCATTAGCAGCCTTTTGATGTCAGACGAGCTGATAGCATACCAATGCAGTACTTGGCCATCCCATATCTGCTGACATCGACGATGATTGAAGGATCTGGTTCGACCTTGAATCCGGTCGCGTGCCGCGGTGCTTCGGAGCAAGATGTGAGCTATAGGAGACCTTGAAGGTCAACTGAATAGGTAAGTGGCCATATGAAGGGTTGGAGAAGGTTGGAGAGCTCAGGAAGCAACATATCCCGAATGAAGGCAGAAGAGAGCCGAGTTGGTAGATGGCAACGGCGCCGTTGCGTTTCTAATGTCGACCTCAACGAAGCGAACGAGCACCGCTACGCCAGCCAAGATAATAGCACTGCTGTACCACTGAACACAGTGACACACTGCCAATCTCAAAGCCAGATCGAAGCACGAGCAGTCAAGCGCCCATCGCGACGTCGACGCAAGTGGCGAAACGAGCACGTGCACCCGCGCAGTTTCACCGACGTCATGATCGTTAGTTCGCTGTGGCACTGTATAGTCCGCACTTGTGAAGCTAGCTACACAAAATCAGCTGATACGGTACGTTTCCTTCATCCAGTCAATCCACAAGAGAGGGGCGGAGAGTAGGTGAAGACAGTCGAACCGGGTTCCTGTGAACCCGACGTTGACTTTGCAATTGGGCAAGGTGGGAAAAGTGTGGAGAATATACATGTGGGTGAAGCTATCTGGGACTATGGTGAGCCGGGAAAGATATGAAGGGAGAGTTCAGTTTGAAATGAGAGAATATATGATTTGACCAGATGAGATGGATTGGGATTGGGTGGTTGAGATTGAGGGGGATTATATGAAGAGGAAGTCCTGAGTTCGTGCGGGAAGCGGGGGCAAGAAGACGTGAGATCGTGAAGAGGAATCGTGTGTGAGAGGGTCATTTGAGCTTGAGGAGCTGTTGACGGGGTCGGGTTAGAAAACAGAGTACTGAGCGGTTGAAGAGAACGAGGCTGACCTTGAGAGTTACTAGTCGCCCCACCTTGCCGATAACGAGCCCACGGGCTGACCAGTTGACGGCCCAGCCTATCGCATCTCAGTCAGTATCGCATCCTTATACGCCTATCCACCACACATACCTCAGGCTGAGCAGCACCATCACTCCCACTCCCCTCCGCCCCCTCCGCCCCAGCCCCCGCCTCCTGCGCCCTCGCACTCGCGCCCAGCCCACTCGGCGATATCCTCCTCACGGCCGGCCACCCCCTTATCGCGCCCCTGATAACCCTCACATTGGGCGTAGGCGGCGCGTGCACGGGCGACAGGTCGTCGTCCGCGTCGGCAGCCGAGAGGGACTCGATGCGGACTGCGAGTGTTCTTCGCCCGCGTCACTCACGCGGGATGCGCTGCGGGTGCCTGCGAAGGACGTCGAGCCTTGTAGGGTGGCCTTTTTCCTGTAGATAGATGAGGTTGAGTTAGGATGATAGATGGTGAGACGGTAAGGATATTGAGGATTGAGAATACGGAGATAAGCGAGGGAAAGGCGCGCGCACCCTTCTTTCGAGCGCACAATATATCCGAGGCGCTCCTTCATCCGTTTGCTATCGACAGAATGCCGTGGCTGGGGTCTATAGTAGACAGGACCAGTTTACAGCAAAAGGAGAGATGTAATATCTGCGCACCTCGGTCCCTCCTACATATACGCCCAGTCAATCCACCGTCCAATTCACGACATCATACAGTCCAAGCAACATTCAAAAGCATCTTCTTATTCTCATGGAACACAGCAGTACAGGATGGACACGGGCGCAGACGACCTGGCGGCTCGGATGTGCATCGCAGGCCCGACGATGGCATACGAATATACGGTTGTAGTTCACAGCCCGTCGAGTAGATTTACGCCCATTGTCCCTTATACAGCCATATGGCGTTGTTGCAGGTAGGAGTGGGAACCTATGCAACAGCTGGTGATATTGTGATGATGGTTGCGGCCAAGGAAGCAAACGCACGCGTGCGAGCCTGAGCAAGTTGACGTTGTTTCCAACCACCATCACTGGGCGTCCGACCAGCGCCCAGCATACGCGTACTGGCTCATATATGTGACCGGAGAACACTCACTATGAACTCTCTCCACCTTGCAAGTATGATCATGCACGGTACAGTGACTGGGGTATGGGCTCGGGACGGCGTCATGAAGTCAAGGGCACCCAGCGTTCACGGTGGTTAATCTTGCACCCGGTGCTTCGATGGTACTATGGCGCTCGATGTCACACGCCAAATCGGTAACGACCTAGGCCGCGGGTGTACTTCGAGGACTGTCCTCGGAAATGGAAGACCTATCCACACAGCCGACGGTCAGATGCGATTCGGACGTTGCATTGTAGTGGTGTATAGATGCTGTTAACGTGGCCGAAACGTGGACTCCCAAGTGCTCGTACAGGCCTGGTTCGCTCACCAACGAGGCTCGCTGCGAGAAGCTGTATCTATCTCGCTTTCACCGGGAGTAGTACGCGGTCACACCTGTGCAATGTCGGGAGCAATGTGTGTCCGCCGAGCATCCATCTTCTGGACCATCCAGTGCTGACCAACAGGCGATGAAACATGACATTCGAACTTCTTGATCGTGCGCCTCAACATATAAACCTCCGTCACATACATGAGCGTTACGAATCTCGTCGCGCCCAGCATGCCTCTTACGAATGTCGGTCGCAACGTCATCCTACTGTCTCTCTCTCTGTTCACGACAGTCGCCTCGCAATCCTTTCCTTCGACTACTTCTTGGCGTGTACGATAGTGAATGCACACCCATCACGAGCGCGGAGGCTGATGCTTCTTGTCATAGGAGCCGCTCATCACACTACCCTACAGTGACCGCCTTTCTCTGGCAGAAAGTGCACTACATGTTGCCTGCCAACATATAGATTACACAGATGGTACGCAGAGCACACGTTTGCCGATGCCTGGCCGAGGAGTCTGACTGCTTGGCAGGAGCCAGTGTTCTATCCACAACTCAAACGGCGTACCTCCTATATGCAATGGCAGAGTTTGACCGTCGCACCAACGGCACGACCTTCCAAGCAAATCTGACCTCGGCATTGACTACTCTATCGAGGGGTGTGGTGTACAACTCGTCCTATCCTCCGTACGCTCTTCTCTTTTTGCTGGGCGTTATCTGATGTGGACGGCTGTAGGGTAAGAGCCCGTCCTCAAGCACTGCTGAGAGACCTCACGCTCATACGGATTCCATGCGTAGGTCAATACTGACAAATTGTAGATCTTTCCGGAATGTTCTTGTTTGCATTGTGGCTCATTGTTGTCCGCTAGACAGATGGGATTGGCCTATTTCTCGGCTCAGGAGGCCTACTCAGATAGCCCACACCAAAACACTTTCTACACCGTTGCACAAGATTTATGGAACGCCGTATCTGCTTCGTTCGTGACACAGGCAAACGCCACGTCTGGCTCTCTGGGTGGATTGTCGTTCAACTCGACATGTCGTAAGCTATGATTCCTTTACTAGTTGTGATCGACGAGTGTTCATCAAGAGATGCAATGGCAACAAGCGTCTCTGTCAGGGGGCAATAATGCATCAGTCGCCAGCGCCATATCGCAGTCTGGATCTAACACCTTGGCGAGCATGGCAGCAATGGGCCCTTGGATTATGTATGTCTGTCTCCCTGCCATCTGCCATGCGCATTTTTCTCAACTTCAATACACGCAGTCTATCTTCGTGGCTAGGCTCGGCTAGTCAAGACCACAAATACCGCTCGACCTATGCCGCACCGTCGATTGAATTTGTCAAGACATTCCTATCGAATGGCACCATGGTTTTCGACTCGCTTGATTACGGGACATGTTCACTGACTAGGTGGGAAATCACCTACAATGGCGGTAACTTCCTCAAGAGCCTCGGCGCATACTACAGGGACAACGTGTCCTCCGTCCCGCAGGAGGATCTCGAGTAGTGCGTCTACGCATGCTGTCTTTCTGAGACATCCTCATGTTCTCTCAGCATAAACGAGTTGGCGGCTTCGCTGATATTAGCTCCGATCTGGACCAATTCATCTAGTGGGGTCAACATCGAAGGTACCTAGTTTTGCTAACGCTCGACGGTATTTAGCACGTGCATTTACCTGTCTATGATAGATGCTATCACACCCACAACGAGTGATCTTCCGCAGAAAGATAACGGCGCAGAGTGGAAGGGTGAGCTAGCGACCAACTTGCTCGAGATGCATCTCTCATCACCAATCAATTGCTAGCGATCCTCTTAGATGGCCTGTATGAATGCCTGTCCGCGGGTTTTTTGAACGACACGGTGGCCGATCTGACGCGGAAATATATCGCCGTGCAGTTCAACGCGGTTCGAGAGTTAGCAAACTTCACGACGGCTGGAACTGTTGGGCAACAGTATGGACCCAGCTGGAATGGTTCCATCTATCCCATAACTCAGTACCAAGCCAACGGGCAGCTATCTGCGTCCATGTTATTCACCACAGCATTGGGAGTGGGCCCTCAGGCTGCTGCAAACAGGTACATGCATTCAAAGATAATGACGAACTACGGCTGACACTCGCAAGTACTGGTACGGCGAATCCCAATCCGTCGACGTCTGGTCATACCCCGTCATCAGGTCAGAACACCGCGCGAACCAAAAGTTTCATTGGCACCGTCGTGGGCGGTGTCGTGGCCGGGATCGTAGCTTTGACTTTCATAGCTGGTGGTTTATATCTACGACGTCGAAGGCGCACGGCCGCGGCACGCCTGCTTCAGCACGCGCCGCACTCGGACGTGCAGGTCGCAGAGCCGTACTTTGAGACGACGGATCAGTACCCCGTTACCGAGCGTAGCTTGGCGTTCACACGCTCCGACGGTGTTCCCGGATACCTCACGAAACGTGAGCGCACAACGCATGGTGCGCCAACATCGTCAAGCGGTCTCAGCTCGTCTTCTTCGACAAACGGTGTATCTGTGGAGGACCAGCGCAGGGATGACGGGACGATTCGCGTCGACGCGAGTGCTTTGCAGCGGCTGCTGATCAGTATAGGATGGCCCCTGTCGGATACGCAACGCCGCGTATATCGACATGACGGAGAGAGTTCAAGTGTGATGAACGAGCCACCGCCAGGTTACGACGAAGGTGGATCAAATGGGCGCTAGGGCCTTTGTGTCGCTGTGCGGTGTCGATGTGCATAATCTGCGTATGCCGTAGTTTTTCTGTGAGTAGCGACGAGGAAGAACACTTAGATACCCGATAGCCCTATCATGATCATATGAAGTGCAAGATTGAAGGAAAGCGGAATGTCGTGTTACGAGGTTGGTGCCTCCGTCACTGCTGTGATTGGTCACCAGACTATCACGAGGTCGTCCATAGCCGGTAAGCGGTCACGCTACGCAACACGGGAGGCAATAGTCGAGCAGAAAGAGCCGGACAGCGATGGGCAAAGTTCATGAAGCGAAGAGATGATATGACTAGGGAAGGGCAAGCGCCCGTCGCGAACGCAAGCGGCGAAACGGGCACCCGCGCAGTTTCACCGACGTCATGATCGTTAGTTCGCTGTGGCACTGTATAGTCCGCTCAGGAGACTAGGTACATGTAGTCAGTTTGCACCTACCCCGTATCTTTGGCAACGAAAGACCGGTGGAGTGAAGTGGAGATATAGATCCAGGCCGCGATCCCTGCGAACCCGCCGTGGCTCGGTGGTAAGTGTGAAAAGTGTGGAGAATATACATGTGGGTGAAGTTATGTGGACTATCACTACGGTGAGCCGGGAAAGATATGGAGGGAGAGTTCAGTTTGAAATGAGAGAGTATATGGTTTGACCGGATAAGATGGATTGGAATTGGGTGATGGAGATTGAGAGGGGATTATATGAAGAGGAAGTCCTGAGTCCGTGAGGGAAGCGGGGGCAAGAAGACGTGAGATCGTGAGGAGGGGTCGTGTGTGAGACGGAGATACGAGCCTGGGGGACTGTGAGCGGGATATGATTAGAGAATAGTGTACAAAGCATGTTTGGGGAGGATGGAGGCTTACATTAGGAGTTATCAGTCGCCCCAGCTTGCTGATAACGAGCCTACTGGCTGAACAGTTGACGGACCAGCCTATTGGATCTCCATGATCAGCATATCATCCGTATACCTGAGCTCAAATGTATACCTCAGGCTGAGCAGCACCATCACTCCCACTCCCCTCCGCCTCCGCCCCAGCCCCCGCCTCCTGCGCCCTCGCACTTGCACCCAGCCCACTCGGCGATATCCTCCTCACCGCCGGCCGTCCCCTTATCGCGCCTCTAATAACCCTCACATTCGGCGTAGGTGGCGCGTGCACGGGCGACAGGTCGTCGTCCGCGTCGGCGGCCGAGAGGGACGATGCGGACTGCGAGTGTTCTTCTCCGGCGTCGCTCACGCGGGAGGCGCTGCGGGTACCTGCGAAGGAGGTTGAGCCTTGGAGGCTAACCATCTTCCTACAGACCAGTAAAGTGTTATTAGTATAGTGGTTAGGAATACAATATGGATTGAACAAATTGGGATACGGAGATAAGCGAGGGAAAGGCGCACGAACCCTTCTTTCGAGCGCACGATATGTCCGAGACGCTCCTTCATCCGCTCGCTGTCGACCGCATGTCGTGGTTGGGGTCTACAATAAACACAATCAGTATATAACGCAGAAAGCATAGGACTACAATATCCGCGCACATTGGCTCGTCAACAGGCACGATAAGCCGCGTATTCTCATCCGGCTCGTCCTACACATCCGCGTCAATACCACCATCCGCACCTCACGACATCATACAGCCCAGTGAACGTCGACGTACAGAAGCATCTTCGCGTTCTCGTGGACCGCAGCAGCAGAGGATAGACGCGAGCACGGACGACATGGCGGCTCGAGGGAGTGGCGACGCGCGCGGGGAACCGTGGTAACACGAGGCAAAGCGTGAAAAGGTCGTTCTGATGCAATCTTTGCTAGCACGTGTTGCTGGTATGCTGGACCTTGTACCGCTTTCGGGTCTTATCTTGTACCTTCCTCGCTCCACTCGCGATAGAACTACGAGTACCTGGCAGGCGGAGATGTGTACTGACTGGAAAGGGGCGCGTGCCACTCGACGAACTTCTTCCGAGCTCGGCTCGGACGAACGAACGAACGTGCCTCGCAGCTTGCAATTGAAATCATCGTTTTGAATGCACGCAGTTATAGAAGACAGCACAGGCCAAGCAAGTGGTTACAGGAGGGGGATAACAGAGGAGAGAAATACGATACGATAAGGAGAACAAACACTGCTCGCTGGGCCCTGGCGCAAGGCGCTCGTTTGCGGCGCGTGGCGTAAAGCAAGAAGGAATATGGGAGTTCGGGGTAGCACGGGAGGGGGTTCTGTTTGTCGATAATGACTTCTTCTTCGCTTGAGCCATTCGGGGTTGGGCTATCATAGTGCAAAGGTTGGAGAACCTGGCGCGAATGTCAGTATAGGAATAGAATGAATGTAAAGACATAGACATACGCGATCAACGCCGCTCACGCCTCAGCCATCGCCACGTCGCCCTCAGCGGGTGCAGCCGCAGGCTCAGCCGGCGCATCCCCAGCCTCAGCCGGCGCCGCGGTCGCATCCTCCATCTTCGCGTCCCCATCTCCGACAACAACCTCATCCTTCTTCTCCCCCTCCGCTGCCGTCGCAGAACCGTTCTCCTTAACAACCTCATCCTCCTTAGCCTTTTCCTCGCCCTTCTCCTCGCCGTCCTTCTTCTCCGGCGCGCCGTCCTCTTTCGGCTTCTCGACCGTCGGGCTCGGCGCGCCCGCGGTCGAGTGCAGCTGCGTCTGCCACTTGTCGACGAGCGCCTTGGCGCGCTTGCGGAAGCCGTACGTCGCCTCGTCCGGGATCTTGGCCTCGTCCAGCAGGTGGATGTGGCGCATCACTTTGCCGATCTTCGAGTACTACAAAAGCCATTTCGTTCGTCAGTTTACAGCACCCGGTGTAGAAGTAGGGCTACGCACGCTCAAGTACGCGACGGTCATGCCGTTGTACTGCTCAATTTCCGTGAAAAGCGCGTCGCTGACCGGAATATCCTGCAAAAAATTCGGTTAGCTTCAGAAATAATGAGGCGAGGCGGGGAGACGACGTGCCTCGGCTTTGGCGCCGCTGGTGTTAGTGAGGAACGTCTTCTGGAGCGTATGCCGCCAGTTCTTGACCTTCTGCGCCTCCTTATCGTCCGCCAAAGCTGTAAAACGGCGATGTGTGAGTGAGCGTTCGATGCTTGGCGTCACGAGAAGGACGCGAGGGCAATAGAGAAGCGTAGAACGTCAAAGAATGAACGAAGGAGACGCTCGTGGCCTGAAAAATTGGCATTTTGCTCGTTCTGGGCTCAAAATTCGCTGTCAAGACGACAGGAGAGCGCAGGTGCCCGCGAAGACAGCGGGGTGACCTTCAGATGGGTGCTCCCTTGTATGCTGAAGGCAGAAAACTCCTATCTGGCCATATCTCGACCGCGAATACCCCGATTCACGAGCAAAAGCGCTTGTACGACACACAAGCAGCCTATGGTGAAGTTGATTGCCTCGCCACAGATATATCAAGACACCGATGGGCACAAAAAGCCAAGACGCAAGTCGTACGAGCGCCTTTTCGGCGCCAGCGAAGCAGAAAACGGCCAGATTCTTGAATACGAACGAAGAAAGAGACGTACGTCCATCGTCCTTGTTATGCTTGGTCTTCTTAGCTGGCGGAGGCGACGGTTGCGCCTTACTAGGGCCCGCGTCGTCCGCCTCGCCGTCCGCATCGGCCCTTTCGGCGTCGTCCTCGCTCTCGATCGTGTCCTTGCTCTTCTTGCCGTTGCTCTTGCGCGGCGCCCTCTTCTTCGGCAGCGCGCTCCCGCTCTCCGCCGCGCTCCGCTCCACCTTCTTCGCGCGCCCGCCGCCCTCGCTCGCGCGCTTGCGCTTCTTGGCGGGCTTGCTGTCCGCGCTGCCCTCGCTGCCGTCCTCGAGCTCGTCGACGTCCGCGTCCGCGAGCTCTTCTGCGGCGTTGGCTGCGAGCTCGGCCTGCTCCTCCTCCCATTTGGAGGGGTCACGCGCGATCTTGTAGCCCTCGAGGAGGTCCTTCTTGTTCTGCTGGCCCTTTGGCGGCTCGTCGATGAACGCATTGATCTCGTGCGGCTGCAGACGGGAGAGCGAGCTGGGCGGGAGCCACGCGCTGTCAAGATAGGGACGGTCAGTGGGCATGTGGCGTGTGGAGGCGAGGGGAAGACGGACTGGTCGCCTTTGGGGAAGAACTTGACGCAGTAGTGCGACTTGCCACCTTTGGACGGACGTTCGGCCGCCACAGCAGGCGGAGCAGTATCCGGGTCAATCACCTACGCACAAAGTACCCAGGATATTCAGTCAACAAACGCGTCCTGCGCCGCGTACTTGGGAACACGGGACGCACCATGCCGGGCCAGGGCTGGTAGCCGCGGACTTTGCCGAGGACGATGTCCCGATAGGCGTACGTCGCGGCAGCCGCAGACTTGTTGTTACCCTTTTTGGCTGCGGACATTGCTGTGACGGATGTAGAGAGGAGCGCAGAAGCTGGACGCGGGAGACAAGTCGCGGCGCGCGCGAGTCCGCGCGAAAGAGTACACGGGAGTTTGCCGATCACACGTGAACGGGCCGATAGTCCCGAAAGAGTGAACGACGTCAGAGCAGAAGCCGAGACTTTCTCTGCGGACCGCCATCTGCTCTGCGCTCAGTGCCCTATACGTACTTTCGTCTTCTTCTCAAGGTTGTGCTGTGTGAATGGCATCGATAGGGAAAAGCGCTCTTTCTGGACCGTAGGCAAGGGCGTCCTCGCATTGTCCCCGTTGCCCATGGCGTTGACGTCGGGTTTCCCGGAATGGACCGTAGCGCCCATGAAAGACTAGTTGATCGCCGTGTATACGAGCTTGCACCGCTAACCTTCGTCATATCAACTTTCCAGGCGCAGTGAAATCCGAATGGGGTGTCGTGTGGGCCCGAGTACGAGGACGCCCGTTTTCTGCCAGATCGCGCACTCGCGTCTCGAAATCGGTAGATGCATGGAAGCAGGCTCCCTACCGACACTCTTGCACCCCGATGCGCTGCAGCCCATCTTGCCGAGTGGCCCGATCGTCATATGTGTAGCGTCGTATGACAGTGACTGGTCATACGGCTGGTCATATCAAGGCGATGAGGCCCTCAATACGCCCAACGTACTCTCAATCCCCACATTGTATGCTGCGGGTGGATCATATTCGCCAAGTCTGTCATGTCCACCTCAGTATTTGGAACCAGGTAGCGTGCTTCTCGGTACTCGCCCGAATCTAACTCTGACATCTGTTAATAGGCCATGCCTGTATCCGAATAACGCGACTATATATCACCCCCTTCCCGCCTCAGCTCTATCAACTCAACACTCTCTACAAACGCCATCATGAAGACTTCCCTCCTCGCCATCCTCGCCGCCGCCATCACCCTCGCCTCCGCGAGCGTCATCGTCATCGACACAGATGCGCACTCTCTCAACATCGACGTCGGTACCAAGCACACCGACTGCAACGAGTGTACGCTTCTAATCATCCCCTTATGCATCGACCTATACTGACTCCCGGGTTTTAGTTTGTGCTGATGCTGGCAAGCAGTGCCGTGCCCGCGGTCTCCCAAGCAAGCTCTGCGACGTCGTCCGCGGCCAATGCGCCCACGAGTGTATCGAGACCTACGCCCCTCTCGACACCTTCGATGCCTACGCGGACGAGAACTGCGTCGAGAGTAAGCCGTCATCTTTCCCATCTTGATCCGTGCTGGCCGCTCATGCGTACGGTCTCCCGCGCAGACTGCATAGAAGAGTCGCACAAGTGCCGCCAACGGCGCGGACGAGAAGGAGTGCCACGATAAATTCGTCCAGTGCAAGGATAAATGCGAGCATGGCAAGGACTACAACCCTCTTTACTTCGGACGCGAGAAGGTCGGATACACTGCTAGGGGCGATTCGTGCCGTGACAGTGAGCACAATGACATTGACTGCCAGCGCAATGATGATGGGAGCTGACGGGTGATGTACAGACTGCATCGACAGGGAGCGCCGGTGCGAGCAGAGCGGTATGCCGGCGTGGCAGTGCCAGACCGAGCAAGAGAAGTGTTTCAAGGATTGCAGCGCGCCGCCGAGCGAACTCGTGCTTGCGATGTACGCTGACGAGGGATGCGTGCAGAGTGCGTGTTTTTACGAGCTGATACTCGTTGTATAGGTGCTGATGGTTTACAGCTGTTCCCGAAAACCTTGGGAATGAGCAACTTTTTTTTTCGCGAGTGAGGCGCGTCGCGCAGTTCACGGCCATATCGGCCCGTGAGCTACTTGTAGGCGCAAATTCGTCTTGCGCTTCTTCCCTCTCCTCGCTTTCAATCCTTGCTTCGCTTACTGCTTCCAATGGTCGCTAGGGGGCGATCCACGTCGACGCCGAGTTATCTCACAATGGTAAGGTCATCAGGCGAGCCACAGGCTACGAGCCGCGCGACGCGGCTTGTAGACTGCGGGTCATTTGATCGTTGATCTTCATGGGCGAGTATGGCCATAAAGCGTAACTTTGTCTTCGGTGCCTTGCGGTACCTGGACTCAACTCGTGAAAAAAAAAAGTTGCTCATTCCCAAGGTTTTCGGGAACAGCTGTAATTGCTAGGCTGTCATGATACGGAGGAGCGGTGTAAAACGAGCGGGGTGCCGTCGTGGAAGTGCCAGGGCGACTACGAGCACTGCGTGGAGAAGTGTTAGGCTGCGATACATGGCATCCAAGGCGATCTTGCTACTGGGCTGTCAGCGTATCTCCTCAAATATGTAGTGCATTGTGATTGGCGAAATAAGGCATGATGAAGGGAATCGCGCCAGCCTACTCCTGGTGTCTGCGGGCTATAAATGGTTGAGCTCAAAAGCTTCCATCGGCCTGATGGTCTAGTAGTATGATTCCTTCTTAGGGTTGAGCGGTATATCCGTACACCATCTGGAGGAGGTCCCGGGTTCAATTCCCGGTCAGGCCCTGTCGTCGACTTGCATAGGATGCTTTTTAGCTCCTATGTCTGATATACCCAAAGTGGGTATATCGACAGACTCGGTCACTGTTCATGATTTTTCATCGATTGAAACGACATATATCGACAGAGGTCGGGGAAGCTAGGAATAATTGGAGCTCTCAAGTGCTGGGAAGGAGGCGCGCGTACGTCTACACGAAAAGACACGGTGCCTACGTCCGCAAGAGCCTCTCGACGGTCACCCGCGTGATGATCATATCGAGGCTTCGTGCGTTCCGTCAATTACAGGCGATGCATTACCGACAAACAGCGACGGTGCAAAGTACAGTTACGCAGTCGTGATCACTAAGAGTCCGAAATCCGAGTAGTATATGTATGTGCCATGTAGTAGTGATGTGCCAACTTCAGCCAGTAAACCTCGTACTATGCGCAAATCGCTCGACCTTTAGCGACATTCATTATTGCCTTCGCCAGTACAGCCCTAGACTCCATCAACAACGCCACATCCTCGGCAATCCGATCCCACTCGATCGCATATCGCGCCTCTGGGGCAACGTAGTCCCAAATCTCCCATCGCTCGGTGTCGATGCGTGCTCCAAGCGGCAGGAGCGCGGCCAGGAAGAGGGATATGCCCTTTCTCCTTTCGAGGTGGACTGGCGAGGCGCCCATCCAGAGGTTGCGGAGGTTCGGAAATTGGTTCTCCGACCAGGCGGGATAGTCGATGGTGGCGTCCGAGGCGTCAACGTAGAGTTCCAGCGTTTCGACGCGCGGCATGGCATCGGCGAGGATACCGAGCTCTATGAGCTTGATGCCGGGTGGAATATCGCCGACCGCATGGGGTGACGGGTTGCAGACGAGGTACTCCAGAGTCGGCAAAGCACGCGCGAAGTTTGCAAGTTCGTGAACTGAGAGCTTCAACGCGTGCTCATGCGCAATGGCGATACTGACAAGACCGCGTAAGCTGCCAGCGCTGGCGAGTGGGGCCAGGGTAGTCCAGCTCAAGGCGGTGTCCGGCGAAGGCGACTCGACCCAGCGCGCATTTTCTTCCTTTTCGTCGTTTGGCGCGCTGAGAACGAGCGAGTATATGTTGAGCGAGCCGCATTCGCGCGCAACGGTTGCGTGAAAATCCTCGACGGCAGCTGGCGTTTCAGGCCGTGCCGCGCGTACGAGAAAGTCCGTGATTCTGCTGGCTGGGAAGTCGGGGTTTGTCAGGATCTCTATGAGGTCCGCCAAAGGAGCGCTGACGGATAGCTTTCGCAAGGCAGGGAATGCGTTGGGCTCCAGATGTGGCGTAAAGACAAGAACATCAGAGTACAGGGCTACCACAGTGGGCGTCTGCGTCGTCGAAAAGGCGATCTCCTTGACGTGTTGTAGCCGGCTTGCGGTCTCGAAGACTACTTGGGTGAGACCGTAGATGGGGAGGTATAGCGTCTGGAGACTGTCGTCGAGATGCGATAGAAGACTGCTGAGCGCGACTTCGATAGGCGACGAGGAGATGCTCTCCATGGGTACCAGCTCCAGATATCTTATGTTTGGTGCCTTCCACGCGATGTCGTCGCATATGGTTTCGATGGTGTATCCCGGGAGCCCATGCATAGGTACGTACATGATCAGCTCTTCCAATCCAGGGTGGAGGAAAAGCGACATCTGCGCGAGGTGTTCGTCTTGATACCACTCAAGTTGTTTCAGGTTAGGTAGGACGGGATGCCATAAACGTGTGTACGCTAGTTTTGACAAGAGAGACGAGACAACTTTCGTGTAATCGTCCTCGCCGGAGACACCTTCTATGCGCAACTTGCGCACGCGCGTCGCGAATGGCTGGAACCGAAGCCAGTCTTGATGGCTAGGTACACGCTCGAATTCCTATGGGGTCATGTAAGTTGCTGCAAGCGAAGGAGTGTATATTATATACGCACATAGCCTTGGTGTCCGCGGAGTGGTCCCAGGGGTGCAAGCAGCGCAAATAACTCCCATGCGTTCTCGACCTCCTGCCAGATGTGCCGGCGAGATATTTCGAGCCAGACCTGCGATACTAATGCAGTTTTGGCGAGGTCGATCCGTTCTATGAACGAGAGAATCAGGTCGAGGAGTTCTGCGGTCGCGATGACCCGGGTGGCAATATGTAGAGCATATGAATCGAGTGGAAAGAGTTCCTTGGTTTCGCCACCGTCAAAGGGGGACTCATCAGGCACGATTACAGGTAGTTCTGGGCCTAGTTCCGTGCCTGACATGAGAAGTCGGTTCACAGCGAAGAGTGAACGTGGATATCCTGTAGCGGCTATGGATATGTGGTATGCGTGGGCTGGATAGGCGAATAGAATTTCGAAATGGGCCGGTCGTGAAGCGTTCACTTAGAACAGGGCTGGTAACAAACAAAGAGAGAGCAGCCGATAGCTTGAATTCGGAATACCGGTGCTGCGAGACCGATATCGACGACTACAGACTGAGTGGCTCGGCACTTAGAGGCGAAAGGCGGTGTTGATGGTGGCGAGATCCAAAGCGCGCGCATTGACAAGCGCTCGAGCCTCGAGTGTGACTTGCCGCCGACGATCACCATACGCACAACACAATATCCATCTCTTCCATCGTCTACGAAACACGTGTCCACTACCGGATGTCTTCCGCCCCATTGAGCTATAATAGCTCTTCGACGTCTCAGCGTAGCCCACCGAGGCAGCCCGAACTCACACCGAGTCTGTGCGGTGCAATATCAAGAGCGGCACCGCTCTATTCTCTTCCGTAATTCCGTAGCGGCAGTGTGCTTTTCGAAGCGCTGAACTCGAGGCTATCGTCTCTCTATACGTAGTTTGTCTCGGTGATGAGTCGGGAACTGCCACTACCGGGGGCGCAGTTTAGCCACATATACGCGACGTTTGGAGCAGCCTCCGACTGAGTCGTCGTCCTCCTACGGAAGGGCCTCGCGCGGACGCGCTGCACGATCACCGGAATTCCGGGTACTGGTCCTTGGATGTACTGGGTGTGCACTGAAGGCCTCGCCTCGGGGACTCCCCGAGCAATGATAGCGACGAGACGGCTGTTCTCGTTCCGCGGCGGCTGCAGCTCGTTCGCGACTTGGAGTTTTGATCAGTGCAAGCGCAGCTGAAGTATGCATAGAGTCTGAAGAGCATGAGGTACATAAGAATGGCTGACCACAGGCAACTAAAGGCGGCATTCCGACCAACAACAGTCAACTTGAATACCTCCACCCTAGCAGCCTCATGTACTCACTGCAACCCGAATCTCGCTCTGCGAGCCCTGCGCGGTCCCTATCGAGAGGTCAAGCATGCGTCGCGTGCAGGTACGCTCACAACGTCTCCTCGTGCAAATATCTCTATGACTAAACAACTCGCAGGCAGCGTAAGATCAAGTGTGACGGTCAAAGGCCGATCTGTGGTCAATGCACGAAAGCGCGTCGACCTCAAGAATGCCACTTCGAGGGCGTAACTCGCTCGCGCGTTCAAGTTCTCGAGGAGTCAATCCAGGCCCTGGAGGCTCGCATCAAAGAGTTGGAGGAAGAGGGCGATAACGCCGGTCCCTCGTCGGTGCTCTTGCATGCTCCTCACCCTCCTTCTAGTACCTCTGCGTCCTGTGGGTTCTCTATGCCATCAAATCTACCACTAGCTAACATGAAAGTCCTATATGACAGCTTCACCTCACTCGCCCGTGAGGTATTTAGGCCAACAGCCTGTCTCTTCCGAGGTTTCCTCCATCCTGTACGCACTTAATCTCGATTGTACTCATCTATGTTGAGCTAACGCGCCTCCAGACGCAATGTCTTCTTCCAGAATAGATCCGCTCTGCCCTGGTTCCTTCATGAGGGTCGCATCCATCAGGCCTTTCAGCTACCGATCGACGACGTTGGGCGCCCTATAGCAGTATTAGACACGGCGATGCTCCTTTGGGGAAGTGTCTTCTACGCGCGGACGTCTCAGGTGCCTCCGCCTCAAGAAGTCGAACCTCAGCTGCTCTTGTTCGTTCAATACCTTGAAGCATTAGTATTGACGCTGATCTTTCTCCTACAGGAGCCGAGCACAGAGCGAGGTAGGTCGAGCATTGGTCGATGCCTCGGCGCAACACATCATCCAAGCCATCCAGGCTCATGCCCTTTTGGCCGTATACTTCTGCGATACCTGTCTATACATCGAAAGTCGCGCTCACGTCGATGCAGCCGCTGCCCTCGCAACGCGCGTAGGTCTGCACAAGATCCGCGGCACGCCCGGAAGGGTCCCGTATGGGGTTTTCATGGACCCGGTGACGACCGTACTCCCCGAGCCGTTGGACGCCGTGGAGGAGGGTGAGCGTATAAACGCATTCTGGACATCGTTTTGTTTAGACCGCATCTACGCCGTCGTACTCGGTGTTCCCCCTCTCATCATAGACGCAGAGGATGCGGATATGCAAGTCGACACACCCTGGCCCTTGGACATGACTCTGTACGAACAGGTAAGCTGTATGTTGGTGAAGACTACGCAGTGAAGCTGACTATCACGATAGGGACATATGCCTCTCACGCTGCAGACCAGTGGCACCCTACGCAACTTCTTTGGCGGGGTCAGAAGCGGCTGGCCTTGGGAGGCTGGTATGCTCTCCCAGCTGAGCAGGGCCAGTGCCCTCTTTGAGTGCGCTACCAGAATCGCAGCTTCCTGGAGGCCCGGTGAGCTTATCCCTGCCGCATCATCGGCACGTTGTTAAGTGGCGAACCGGTAGATCTTTCCAATCCGACAGCCTACTACGCCAGATCTCTAGCACTCGATAAGCGACTAGACGAGTTCTCGGCCCAGCTACCGGCGCTCACACCCGGAATCGCTGTTCAACTCTACCTTGCGCACAACCTTGCCCACGCTGGCAAGATACAGCTTCACTCGGTCTTTGCACAGCAGAACCCCGACTCTCGCGCCAAATGCTTGGCTGCGGCGCGCGCTATTGCGAGCGTTGCCATCACGGCCGACGCGCAGACCTTCGTCTTCATAGACCCAGCGTTGGGGGTGCGTGTGCTCTCGACTGCGTTCAGTTGACAACCCTCGCTCACGGTCTACATTATGTAGTCAATTTGGGCCGCCGCATGTAGGGTTCTCATCCACGAAGTTGTCGCGGTTCGCAATAACCTGCTCGCACCGCCAGTAGCTGGCATGAATGCCGAAGTCGCGCTTACTGCAGATCTGGACGGTCTCCTCGCATTCATGGCGGCCCTGTCTGCGACGTCGGAATCTATGAGTGAGTCCGTTTGGCTGATAGTACTGTGAGGCTCCCTGACTTTGCTCAGATTTCCAGTACTCTCGAATTCAACAAGAGCGTTTACTGCTCGGATGAAGCGCCTTGTGCCGGTCATATGTACCTGTCTAACGTGGTACGCTCGGGCACAGTTCAACTGAGAACCAGTGGCTTTCTCGCACAGTCATTTATCTTGTCTCATGTATACCTGAAGCTTCGGATTCCCCTCTTGTTGTAGACTACTGAGTCTCACTAAGTATGTACTATGTATCATATCCACTGTTTAATGATCGGCCCGATCCATCAGCGGGTCTTGCCGGACGATTGCTCTCTTCCCTTCCCGCGCCTGATTGGCCCACGCACAAGTTGCTCTTGGCCGTCAAGTCCATATATCGTCGTCCCCTGCCGCAACAACTGGGGTGCCTTGTAGTGGACACATGTTGAACGCGCATCACCACCATGATACGCGACTGGATTGACGAGTTGGGGCCATCGCGGGGCTGAGCTCGAGATCATCAAAAGTCAACCATCGGCAGGCCCAAGCTGTGCTGCGCGCTGTGCTGACGGGCTCGGCGGTCAATATCTCTACGGCCCTTCGAGCCATCGACCCTCTCTGCAGTGAACGCTGGCGATGTACAACACGACAGTCTTCTGTGCATTGAGATCCTGGGCTCATCCAGGGCTCGAGTCGCTGACCCAGGCGTTGCGAATCAATCAGGCATCACAGACGGCGTGAGGGGCGCCTGCACGTATCTACGTTCGAAAGAGGGAACGATCTCGCGGCTGGTGTGATCGGGCTAACGCGTGGCGGGATGTCGATGACCCTGCGCACCGCCCGTACATATACGCGCGCCCAACGGTTTGTGGCGCCTCTCTGCCCACCCCATCTTGTTCTTGGTGCAGCCGCCCACTCTTTCGGTTTCGGTTTCTTCTTTCTCCCCCTTTCCCTTTCTTTTCTTTGCTGGGCCGGCCCCGTGGGCTACGTACTGGCTACGCAGACCCTTTTTTCTTTGCACTTTTTCCATTCACGTTTGACGACCTCTTGACATCATGAACGAGACGACTCGTATTCTCGCCGATGGCTCTGAGTTCATCATCGCGACTCCGTACACTCCTTCCGAATCTCGGGCTGGTGTGGTGCGTAGCATCTCGTATACAATCGCTCATGAGACTGACGCGCCACACAGGTCCTAGTGCTGGTCTCTTGCGTTTCGCTGGTATGCGTCCTTGCCCTGCTGGCTGCAATCATCGTGCGTGCTCCGAAGTTCTCGAAGTTCAAATCGCTGACGCCTTTGCAGACGTCGGCGGTCAAGACGCGCTCGTCGGATGATCCCAACTTGTTTGTGCGCACCCATGTGGCGTCCTACTTCGTATCCCTGCTTCTGTGCTGCTTCTTCCAAGGTGAGCCGTGTCTTTCGGATCATGGTTCACGAGACTTATGTGGCTTTAGCCGTTGGAGGAATTATGAGCTCGAACTGGATAAGGAGAAACGGAGTGTTCGAGGGATCGTATTGCACTGCTCAAGGTGTGTTTGATATCTCTGCGCGTCTGTTGCGCCGCTGGGTATCACGGTGACTGAATCAGTTTGACAGGCGCTATCAAACACATCGCCGACGTCGGCATAGCGTCCTGGTTCTTCGTGATCACAGTGCACACGTTCTTCGCCCTGTGGCGCTCAGAGCGCCCAGCTCGTCCCGCTCGCGAGATACTCGGTTATACGATTGCTGCGGACGCGCTGGTGCACTATATCACGCTGGGCAGCACTTGGCTCTTCATTATCCTCGCTATCGGCATCGCAAACGCTACGCAGGATGTCGAGAAGCGTGGTGCTTTCTGTGAGTGGATTGCCTATTTTGTACGGTCGGGCGGCTAACATATAGATGGATCAGATGGTGTCTCCGGCGACTGGTGTTGGATCACGAACGACTACGGCGCGGAGAGGATCATGTATGTATGGCCGCTTGTCCTTGAGGTTCTAGGCGCTCACATACCATCATTCAGCTTCGACTACCTCTTGATCTTCCTGTCCGCACTCACCGCCCTCGCCCTCGATGTCGCCGTGTTTATTCGCGTGCGCCGCAAGCTTCGCATCGAGAAGCCATCGAGCAAGTTTGTGCTATCGGAGAAGGATCAGGCGGACGAGTACCGGGTGATGTTGGCGAAGCATATGGTGTTCCACCCATTGGCGTACTTTGGATGCATCTTCCCGATTGCAGTGGTGCGGTTTGCGAGTTGGTCTGGGAACGACGTGTCATACGGCGGTACTATCTTTGCGTGCGTCCGCTGCTCTTTATGATTCAGATGTCACAACTGAACTTCGATGATAGGGACTTCGTGTACCTCCTGATCGGAATTGTCGTCGTCGTCCTCTTCCTTTCAACACCTCGCCTGCTGCCGCCACGGTCCTACCTGCCTGCATGGGTCGTGCACTTCCCTTTGCCCTCGTACGACCACACATCGCGGGGAGCATCCGACTACGAAGACCCGTACTACAAGACCGGAGAGAAGGGTCCGCTCGGCGCAGACGTCAAGTTCGACCCAGAGCATGCCCTCGTTGCTCCGCACGAGGCGCTTCCTTACCCGAAGCCGGTCCACGCTGCCGAGAACCCATACGCGACACCGTTGTACTTCAAAGACCGCCGGCCGTCCGAGTCGCCCGAGAACACCCCGCGCGGGATCGTGCTGCACCCTGGCGCCACCGACCGCAACTCATACTCGTCGATGTCTTCCATCACGATCAGAGCTCGGCCGAGCTCGCGCGCGTCGAACATCAGCGTCGCGAGCATGAACAAGCGTTTGCCGCCGCGGCCGGTGCAGGGTCTGCCTTCGAACCCGTCGCCCTACGTGCCGCAGAACACGCCCGGTCACTCGCGGTCGTCTTCAGCGCCTATGGTCCCTGCCCAGCCATCGCGGCGCGTCCCGCCTGGTCTCGGCGGATACGGCCTACCGGTAGGACCCAGCGCGCACCGGCGCATGCATTCGTCGCCTCACGCCATCAGTATCCATCCACCATCGCGGCGGCCAAGCCCGGCACCCAGCGCTCGCCAGCAGTACCTCTCCCCCGGACAACTAACGGCTAGCGACTCGCGGCCTCTGTCTGGAGCAAGCGACAGTACCTCCTTCTCCTGGGCGTACAACTTCCGCATGGAGCCCGGATCCCGCTCGCCGTCGGTGGCCAGCGAGCCGCGCTACTCCGGTGCAGCTCAGCGGCTCATGCAGTCGCGCGGCGGGCACCTCAGCAGTCTGCGGCGCGAGATCACGCAAGCTCAGGCGGAATGGGAGAACGTCGACCTCGGACACCAGCACCGCTCGGGGTCGCGCGCATCTGACCGTTCAACTTCGTCCCGCGGTAGCCGCGGGTCGGCTCGCGCCGCGGGCGAGCTGGACGACGAGCGCGATGGCTCGGACGCCAGCGCGTTTGAAATCGTTACGAGACCTGAGTCTTATATACCACCCAAGTCTGCACGTATCAGCCCTGGTACACCACCCAACCCGGATGCACCGCGGCTGGCGCGTATGTCTAGTGTTGAGGAGTAGTTACCTGGAATATATTGGTTTCAAACACAGACGCGCTTGTTTCACCTTCAGATCACAATATCTTCCCCGTGCGGTACGTACTTATTTGCCGCTGAGTGCCCCACACGGTAGTCAACAACACCACGTCCAGGGAAGTAAAAGGTGCGCTGTATACACTTATCATCTGAGTATACACGTACTGAAGACGCTTGCAGGTCAACTGATCAGCTGTATACCTCTGGCACTCCCATCCTATCACGCTCACCCCTTGGAGTTGTGTTGCTCTATCATCACGCTTCAGGGCAGCTGTTTGGGTCGAATCATGCGGCGAGCAAACTCCGGTCCTCTTTCCTCAACTGCCTTCTCGCCCTTATGCCCTCTCTCCCCGGCCTGGTACTCGACTGCCGCGTGCTCGCGAGCTCTCACTAGTCTGTAACAGCGTCTGATCGCTTTGGGGTCTGATCAACACCGAACATCACTACCAATCATTGCAGCACGCCACGATGCACGCTTCTATTTCATCTCTCCAAGATACGCGTACGCTCGCACGCGCCTGCGGCGCTCTACAAGGTGCGGGGCATATATAGGCGACGTGATATGCTCCGCGGGGAGCGCTTGGACCGTCCGACTCCCTTGCCCCACTCGCTATGTTCAGGTCGTCGATATTGCTACTCGTCTTCCCGCTGCTTGTGCGCGCGCAATATGGATTCGGTCCCATCTCGAGCGAGGAAGGCGGCAACTCGACAAGTACGCAGCCGTTGCTTGCGGACCAGGCGGCGGACTTGCGAGCGGCGGGGTTCATCCTGGAGTACAGTCTCATTGGCATAGTGGTCGAGTCGCTGCTGTTTGGTGCGCACCTTGTTCATCGCATGATGTTCTTGGAGCATCTCTGACTTGAGGTCTCGTCGTAGGTGTATTCTTGACGCTGTACGCGTTCTCCACGAAGATCTTGTTGTGCGTTTGACTGTTTGATTTCGTTTGGGGTTGCTGGACTGATCGCTTCCGTAGTCACAAGGGGTTGAATAACGCGTCATACCGTGGCATGTTCGCCGTCACAACCGCCATGGCCATCGCATCGACAAGGTACGCGTACGCCTTGGATCTTGGCGCGGAGGAAGAGCTCACCCGCGCGTTCGCGCTCCAGCTATTGGGGTATCAGCCTGGCCATCGTGATCAAGAACCTCCGCGACATCCTCGTCAATCATCCCAGCTTGTCGATCTCTGACAGGTTTGATATGGCGAACGTGAACGTTTTGAAGCTATACATAGCAGAAGTCTATTTACCAATGGTTAACGTGCGTAGAGTTCGTTGCGCGCATACTGTCAATTAAGCCAACGAGTATGTTTGACAGTACTGGTTCAGCGATGCGGTAGTGGTGTGGCGTGCATGGACGTTGTGGCCGCAGCGCAAGTGGCTGGTACTGTCGTTCCCAATGTTCTGTCTCTTCGCGTCTTTTGGTGAGTCTCGGCAACGAGCTACAAGTTTCGAGTGCTCACCCATCCTCTTCGCAGTCACAAACTTGGCCGTAGGCGGGATGAAGGTCCGCGCGCTGCACCACGACAGCGATGCTTGGGAGTACTCCATGTCGTATCTCCAAATCGCTAGTTGGTCGCTCTCACTGGGCACGAACTTCTTCGCCACGCTCGCTATCGCCTGGAAAGCATGGTGCGCCTACAATTTGCTCTCTTCAGACACAATAACCTGACATACTTCGCGCAGGGCATTCCGCCGCAACATCAGCGAGAACCTCGGCGAAAGCAGCTCCCGTACACGCGTCGAAAAAGTCCTCGCCATGCTCGTCGAAACCGGCGTGCTCTATTTCCTCACACAGCTCGCGGTCGTCGTCAGCTGGTTCGTCCTGCTCCCCGGCACCGTGAGCGCGTGGGCGTCCGATCTGTTCGGCGAGGCGGCGGCTATGCTGGCTGCGATCTACCCGACGGTCGTCATCGTGCTCGTCAGCCTGGACAACGTCGTGCTGGATATGGCGCGCACGCGCGTGTCCCCCGCTCCGTCGTCTAGCGGCATAACGGCACGGAACGATACGCATATGAGCTTCGCGGGCAATCCGTCTGAGACGCTGTCTGCGTATCCTGGGAGCGAGGAGGAGAAGAGCCGGTTCGCGCCGCTGAGCGTCGGCGTGCTGAGTAGTATGCACCTCAGCGCGTCGAATGTTGGGAGTGCGAGCGAGCTGGGATATGATACGCCTCCGGGGTCGAGTAAAGTGCCCGACTTCGAGAGGCAATGAGCGCGCACCAATAGTTCCTTGTCCTTGTATATATTCACACCTGTGCTCTCCGTAACTATATTCGGATGCATTCATTTATATGTACTCGAAGTTACTACAGGGCCCGTCACTGGCACGTATGAGACCTCTCTCGGAGGGTGAACGGAGACGATGCGTAGATGGACGTCGAGAGCAATAAACGACTGCTGCGAGTGGCTGTCGGTTGATTCTGTGTTGTGGCGCGTGATGTCACCACGCGTATGGTAAGCAGCAGCTGTGACTCTTCTCTGACGACCACGACGACGACGAGTTTCCAGCGCTTACTCTCGCGTATCCTGGAATGGCGCAGTACTCGGGCATGGATATAGACTCTGAGGACTTCTGGTTAGCCCGTAAAGAGCATCCAGGGTCGGATGCGGTCAGGACGGCGGCCATGGTCGCGACAGGGTGCGTGGTGCTCGACATGCGCGAGCGCACATTCACTGATCTGACTTCTATATCGTCGATATAGACTTGACAGCCTGAGCTCTGAGGACGAGCGCGAGGCTCTCCGAGTCAGGAGATGGCGACATAATCTCCAGAAGGTCCTGCTGCAAACGTCGCCAGCTGTGGCACTTGCGCCCGAGGTGCGTTACCATGCCATGCTTTTGGATGTGAACATCTCTGATGCTCTTTAGCAAGCACGCGACGTTAGCGGGTGGCTGAGCCAGGTTGAAGCGTACGACAAGATGACTTTGTATGCCCTAAACGTGCGCCACAGGTCGCTCTTCTCCTGCGCCCTACTGATTTGGCCCCTCTATAGTACTCGAAGCTGGACAAAGTCCTGTACCGAATATCTCTACTCGAAGGAAGCACAAAGCTACGAGGAGACCCGTATAGCATCTCCACTCGCGCCCGCGCGCTGTCCGAGAGGTGGCAACCTAGCTCTTTACCCCGAACATGTGTGTGGCGCCTTCATGCTGTTTCCGCTTTCCTATTGACCTTGCATACAGTACGCGATGCTCAGACAGCTCGGTCACCCTACTTCCCACCATCCATACGGACTCTACATCCTACACTCAGCGCGCTGAACGCCCAATCACACACGAGCAGTCTCGATCTACTCGCCGCTGTATCGACTGCGGAGAGGATGGCCACCCTGACGCCACAACCCCCACCCCCGCCGCCACCTCCTCGACGGATACTCGTCTCTTCGAGTGCCCAGACCGACGATGACATTTCGAATGGCGTCAATGGAACACTCTCCCTCATAGGGGAGAGAACGCGCGATACGACGGCAAGCCCGGTACAAAATGGCACTCGATAGCTGCTGCTCAGAGCGAGTGTGCGCATCCCGGAATCTACGATCTACACGGAAGGAGCAGGCTCTCGGTCATCCATCTCACGGACATCTACTTGTACTCTTGCTGTGTTGTATCTTCACGATCTATACCTACACTGGCATCCTTCGAATGTCGTCTTACCTGCACCCTCGTGGCCAACATGCGGTAAGAGAACTTGCGCGCCGAATGAGACGGAGCTCGCGAGTGCGACCCGTCCGGCGCAGAGTGTACTCAGGTAGCTGGTTTGCACTCGTTAGGACATACAGGGGCATCGAGCTTTGATCGAAAACAGCTATTCGTCTGCTTCAACGATCTTGGTGGACGGGTCCGACGCAGCTCGTTTTCTGAAGAGTTGTAAACTTCATCTCTACGTCTTACGCGCCGTGTCTTCCGTTCGATCTTCTGCCCGCATTACACTCGTGCGACGACATCGCTGTCCTCCCTTTGCGTCCGAGCCCAATGCGTTGACCGTGAAAAAATCAATCGTGCGATTGAAGATCTCGAGAGATCACTGAAGCGTGAAATGTATGGCGAGCAATAATATTGACAGGACATAGATACATCGTAGAACGTCGAGGATTCGTGGCGAAATGATCTACCCCTTCCGTGCCGACCCATCCGTCGCCCATCGCCCTTCCCTTCATTCAATATCACTGGCAGCACCAGCAGCTTGACGATCGTAAACTTCGCGCGCGAACCCGTGATCGAGATGTGCGAGACGGTGCTCTGCGAGGCGAACAGCGATACAAGAGACGAGGAGAGCAGCAAGTCAGAGCACCAGAGAAAGGCAGACTAGCCAGTAACGAGCATTATTTGTATCAGAGGAATGGTTCGTATACTGCCAGAGCGAGGTGCTAGACGCGAGCATTGATGATGATGGTGGTCGGGAGCAGAGTTGCACAAGACGGTCACGGACGCGTCTGTCCGCGCTCTCGCCTTGCTTCTTCCTTCCATCACATGCTCGGCCCTCGGTCGTGGCAGCATATCAGTATACCCTTTCATTCAAGTGTTATCTGCAGAAATGGGCTCGTATACTCATTTCGGCTTACGAGGCACGATAACCACCTCATAAAGTCGCCGCTTCTTCTCGGCGCCTGCTACATGTGCCTTCTGTTCGAACCGCGCGGCCACATGTTCTCTTCCTTACTTCATACCACCACCACCACCCGCCTATCCTGACCGCACCTCGTCCGCGTCGATAATTCGACCATGAACTTCTTCAAGTCGAAGCAGCGGACGCCGCCAGAGCTGGTTCGCGGGTTGCGCGATAACGTGCAGAGGTTGGATTCGGCGCCGCCGGGCGAGGCCAGGCGTAAGGTACATCGAGCTACGAATGGGGTTATGGAAATGTTGTTGACGAGAATTGTAGGCGAGCGAGGAGATTAGTAAGGGCTTGCAGCAGATTAAGGGATTGTTGTACGGCGACGGAGGTGCGTACGCTCGAACATGCACGTGTGGCGCGGAGGCTGATATATGGACTTCGCGCACGTTGAATAGAACCCGTCCCCGAACTCCTTGCTCAGCTCGCGCAGGAAACTTACAGCACCGACCTACTGTACCACCTCGTCACTCATATCGCCAAGTTCGACTTCGAGTCGCGCAAAGACGTCGTTCAGATATTCAACAACCTCCTCCGGCGCCAAATAGGCTCGCGCTGGCCGACCGTCGAGTACATCTCGGGCAAGCGGGAGGTGCTGTTCGCCGCTTTGGCGGGATATGAGAATGAGGATATCGCGCTGAACACGGGCATGATCCTTCGGGAGATGTTGAGGCACGAAGGGCTCTGTAAGATCTTGCTCTACTCAGAGCAGTTCTACAAGTTCCCGCATTATATCGAGACTACGACGTTCGGGATCTCGACGGACGCGTACACGAGCTTGAAGGATACGCTTACGAGACATAAGCCGATGGTGGCAGAGTACCTGGAGAAGAACTACGACCGCGTAAGTTCCACGTCCCGTTTCTCTTTCTTCGACACACCCGCTCACGCTCGCCGTCTAGTTCTTCAACTCGTATACGACTCTCATCCTGTCCAACAACTATGTCACCAAACGCCAATCTCTCAAACTGCTTGGCGAAATCCTCCTCGACCGCGCCAACTTCGCTATCATGACCCGCTACATCGCCAACGACGCCAATTTGAAGATGATGATGAACTTGCTGCGCGACAAGAGCAAGAACATCCAATTCGAGGCATTCCACGTCTTCAAGGTGCGTTCTTATTGAGTGCATATGCGTGGTGGGTCAGTATACTCACTTTGTTGCGTAGGTATTCGTGGCGAACCCGAAAAAGCCGCCGCAAATCGAGAGTATCTTGCGACGAAACAAGGACAAGCTTCTCGCGTTCCTGAAGAACTTCCACAACGACAAGGATGGTGCGTCCTATTCCACCTCGATTGCGCTGAATTGATGACTGACGAATGAACAGACGAGCAATTCACGGACGAGAAGCAGTTCCTCATCGTTCAAATACAGAGCTTATAATGCTAGGCCGCACATTTCCCCCATCCCTCCCCATCCGCGCACTTTCATCGCCGGTATTACCTGCCGCTACTCTCCCGTCAGGCTCGGATAGCGCCGCCGTCCGCGTCATCACTCGGGCCTCTCGTCGCTGCCCTCCATATCGTGTACTACCATCCGTCTACCCCGTCCTTTGTTCACCAGCCCCATCATACTCCCTACGTACTTTTGCGCTCGCTCTGTACTTGATTCTCGGACCTCGTTTACTGCAAATCGCTATCGTCACTTGCACGTCGTTATTTGTAAAGGCTGGATGTAGCGGGTGCGAAAGCAGCTGAAGTATCATTTCAGCCAGACAAGATATGTATTCTATACAGGAGATAGGGAGGTGGCTTCAAGATACGGAGTCGAGAGGTGGAATAGGGGCGGCTCGTGTGACGTGCGGGCGAAGATCTGCACTCGGCGCGCCGGCGAGCGGCCGCCGCACCTTGACTTTGTACCACCATGGCTCCGTCACGCCGTCACCTCGCTCTACCAACTATGACACCTAGCTGATGCACTCTTCTTCATACTGCTTAACTACGATATATGCATGTTTTATCCACTCTCTTCTCCTACACCGAAGTCCTAGTACCGTGTTCGCTTTACGACGTGAAGACGTGTTTTCGAACTCCGTGACTAGTGAGCCATACATTTCGAGCTCTATGAGAGCAATATGCTCATACGTGTGCATCGTCTAGGCCTATAGAGTCTCAGCCTTTGACTGACATGCCTGTGTACCCGACGACTCCCGTTCACGGTTGACTATTCGTCAAGTCTTGTGCCTGCGCGGCGGCTTTTCTTCGCGCTTCGGCAGTACAGCGCGGCAACAATCTAGCCCGAAGACTTGCATTTGCTTCGTCTGAACGTTGGACACACGCAAATCAACTTCATAGCGTGAGTCTTCGTTCATGAACTGCATCCATTCCTCAGAGCGAAACAGGCAGTTATGCATGTCTTGCTCCACGCCAATGGCCGGCCTCATACGCATTCTGTTATGCTGATACGTCGTCCGCTTCTACAGGTTATTTCCATCGTGCTGACCTCGGATGCGGCCCCGCCCAACGGATCACCAGGCCTCGCGCACATTGATGTCCGTGCGCACAAGACTGGAAGGACGAAGTCTGCGCCGACATCGAAGGACGCTACTCTCGACCCCCCGGGCATATGTCGACGAGCATCTTGCATCCCCGCGTTCTGACGCTTACCCACATCTGGCACGACCCGCGCATCTTGTCAGCTCTTCGCGTGCTGCACGCGGGCGACCGAATCATGACGCCGTAGCGCCGTCGGGTCTGACTTCAGTCGCTATAGCAGACTCCCCAACTGCTGCAAGCGCCGTCACGACAGCATCCCCGCCGACGTCCGACCTCCGCGACACATTCATTAAGCGACGAGAGGACACAGCAGACCGTCTGGCGGTATTTGCGCTAGGCCGAACAGGAGCGCGGACCGCGAGCGTTGTACACTGGACAAATAACGCGCCGACCGTATACACTACGCGACGGCCACTGGCAGGCACCGGACACAAACGACTAGCATAGTCCGACTGCACAATACGCACCCTATCAAGGCACCGTCTGCAATCGTCTGCTATTCACCGGCACTTAGCCTACATGCCTCGCGCGAGCGTCATTCTCGTGACACTCTGTCAAAGCCCCGCGCCACCGGTTCTCATCCCGTCACCCAGGACGGCTTCGGGCGTATGGTACGTTCAACGCAGGAGCCGGTCGGAAGGCATAGTCACGGTCGGCGACAGACCATCATTAACGGGACGATGCTCTTCACCCTGTCAAGTTCAATATATCACGCGATGGACTGCAGACTGTCCCCGCCGCCACTGCGAAGTGGTTTGTAGATATGCACGGCGTCTCATGTCGACGACTGCAGCACTCCGCACGGCACTCGGTCGCACCACAGGCCGACTGCGAAACGTGGCAGACGGAAGCTCGCGCGCCCGCCCGGACTCGTTGAATGGCAATAGTTTACAAGAGTCTGTTCGCCAGCGTTCTTACTGACACACATACGGCACATATAATAAGTAGAATAATGATGAAATAAAATTGCCACGTGAAAATCAGATTCACACGCGACTGCGCTCGAGATAGTGCAATAATCATGGAAAGAGACGAACAGGGAAGCGAGTCAAGGTGTGCGAAGGGGAATGCACTAGGTAAGGAGTGTGTGAGCAGTGTGTACAGTACAAATGGAGACGAGGAGCACGGGATGCAAGTCAGTATGAACTGTGCTGTCTCACTAGGTGAGTTTGGGAGTAAACACGGTAGTTTCGCTAGTGTAGAAGGGGTTTCCGGAGGGTAAGAGATAGCTTGGGAGCTGTAAAAGCAAAGTCCAGCTGCCAGGATACAAGACTAGCTTGAGATGTGGGGATTGCGGGTCTGGTAGCAAGTCAGTCAAGTCCGAAAGTGACAGTCGGGAGCTGGAAACGTCAAGTGAAGTGTGTGAAGTGAAGTGTGAATCTGTCGTTCAGGTACTGGGCGAGGGAGTAAGGCGAGGCACGGGTGATGTTGATGGAGTATATGCACCGTGAGGTGTCAGACAGAGTGCTTCGCATCACGTATCGGTCACAGAGTAGGATACAGATCACGAGTCATCGTTCGGCGGGTGTCGGAATGTCCGCACAGTGCTCTTTGGGTGTCAACGCTTGAGTACAAGACGTTCTCGGCTGCGTATCACCGACTCGCGATCACAGGGAACGCGGAGAAGTTCTCAGTCGGTGCTGCGGATAAGATATCCAAGCCAAAACGGGATGATTCAATCGAGACTCGGCTGTCTACGGCCGAGCTTAAGTGCAATAATCATGGAAAGAGACGAACAGGGAAGCGAGTCAAGGTGTGCGAAG